TGTGTGTGTGTGTGTGTGTGTGTGTGTGAGAGAGAGAGAGAGAGAGAGAGAGAGAGAGAGAGAGAGAGAGAGAGAGAGAGTTTTCCAGCCGTGCATGCACCAGCCAACAGGTAACTCTCCAACCTCGCGGCGGGTCTCATACCACTTCCATCTACTGGATGAGCAAAATGGGAACGAATCATCGGCGAGAACACGAAAATGTACACTCCCAAAGAGTGAAGTGTATATTTCCATGTAGCAAAAGATTCAATCCCGTTTGCTCGTTTGTTCAAGCGTGGAAATTCAATCCCATTTTGCTCATTTGGTGAAGCGCACTATGTACTTTGTATTCGAACATGCTTGGAAGTAGTGCCATCCCCCACGAACGTCTCTGCCCCAAAAGAACAAGAAGCACTAAACGACAAAATGAAAGTAAACGGAACCAAGCAAACACAAAAGCAACAACCTCTGACAAAAAACTCCGTCCTATGTAGCCTCGGACCCGCGTCACTTGCATAAAAACGAAAAGCCACGGCTCCATACACTACTCTGTAGCACATGTTGTCCCATCCAAACACCGTGTGAGCCTCACTTTCGCTAGGCCAGGAGGGAGCGTCTACTAGGAGCTGTTCGGAGAGAGAGAGAGAGAGAGAGAGAGTTTTCCATCCATAGGATGAGCAAAATGGGAATGAATCTTCGCTAGAACATGGAAATATACACTGGCACATTTTCCCAAAGATTGACAGTATATTTGGTGAAGCGTGCCAATGTTGCGGTGTGTGTGTGTATGGTGGTTAGGGGGGGGAAGAGGGAGGGAGAGAGAGAGAGAGAGAGAGAGAGAAAGAGAGTTTTCTATCCATGCACGCATCGGCCAACAGGTAAGTCTTCAACCTTGTGGCCGGCCTCACGCCACTTCCATCTATAGGATGAGAAAAATGGGAATGAATCATCCCCTAGAACATGGAAATATACACTGACACATTTTCAGTCTATGACAATATATATTTTGATGTTGTGGCAATGTATTTTTCCATGTTGTAGCAGAGTATTCAGTCTCATTTTGCTCGTTTGTTGAAGTGTGCCAATTTAATATGATTTGCTCATTTGGCGTAGCGCACTATGAGCTTGTATTTGAACATGCGTGGAAGAAATGCCAAGGCCGTTGAATTTTCACAAAAGTTCCAAGCGATTAAAAAGTTGTCTATTTTCTATGGTAATCTGCCTGTTCAAAAAGTAGCAAGGCTTTAAGGCGGAGCGAATTTTGAAACATTGCTCTATCCTAAAAATATAGGATTCAATAATTTCATATTTCATACATAGATATGCATTAGAGAGTCTTTCCCTAACAAAATGGAATCTTCGCTGCCTTCGGTCGGTGACCTGGCTCTTGCGAGCCCTTTGGCACACGTCCCCGGGTTTTGGGGTAGCAAGTGTTAATCACTCCCGCACCATTTGGTGAAGCGCGCTATGTACTTGTATTCGAACATGTGTGGAAGTAATGCCATCCCCCACGAAGGCCTCTGTCGTGTAAACAACAAAAAGAAAAAAGATTTGCACGCAACTAAACGACAAAGAGAAGAAAAGAAGCACCAAAATGAAACCAAGCAAACACAAAAGCAACAACCTATAAGGAAAAACTCCACCCTTTGTAGCCTTCAGCCCTCGTCACCTGCACAAAAATAAAAAGGCATGACTTCATACACAACTCCGTGTATGACAGGCTGCCCCATTCAAACAGTGTGTGGGCCTCACGTGGGCCTCACTTTCGTTGGGTCCAGAGGGAGCATCTTCTATGACCCACTCGTTCTTTCAATCAACTTTAAATAACAGTCGTACTTGCAAAGTGAAATAACAATAAAAATGCCATGCAAACAAAACATTGCATTGCTTATATTCAATCAACTTTAAATAACATTATAATTACTATAACAGATTTTTTTTGAGATAACAAATCTTGGTCCAAGATTTGTTATCTCCAAAAAAATCTGTTATAGATCCTTTAAATCCCATTGAACCAGAAGAGGACCAAGATTTGTTATCTCCAAAAAAATCTCTTATAGTAATTATAATGTTATTTAAAGTTGATTGAATATAAGCAATGCAGTGTTTTGTTTGCATGGCGTTTTTATTGTTATTTCACTTTGCAAGTATGAATTACCTTTTCTGAATTGAACATAGTTTGGTTTTGTTTAGGTAGCTCAATTGGTTATAGCGAAGGACTGAAAATCCTTGTGTCAGTGGTTCGAATCCACTTGTATATATGCTACTTGTACACAATTTTCCAAAGCTTGCTCTAGGTTCCCAAAGCTATGCACATTATTCATGATTGGGCTCCTGTTTTTGATCGCCTCCCCGTTGAGTCTTCGACGGGTAGTTTCTCAAGTTCGTGAAGTGCCATCACCAGAAAATTTCGGAGAAGTGGTAAAATATGGGTAAGAGTTTTTTCATATATTCCTATTACCAGCAAACCTACAAAAGTAAGGATGGCACAAGGAAAGGAAACTCGGTCTGAGTGAGTGAGTTGAGTGACAGACCGAAGTAAATAGAAGAAAATGCCAGAGCGCCCATAGGATCAGGTATACAAACGATTTATTTTTATAATTAATTTTGTCAGATTACAGAAGGTGACTGCAACCTGGAAGGACGTCGTGTGAATGACCAATGAAATTTGTGTTGTCCATAGGATCCTTTGTGATGTCTGGCATTAGGCTCACAATTTGAATGTTGTAGGTTCGAATCCTACTCCCGACAATCTTCCACCAATATCTATTGGATGGAGAGAAGTTATAACTAATTGTTCTGATAGATTAGATATAGACACTCGAGGATTTGGTCGCTGGGTTATGAAAAAGTGGTGATCAGACTTTATAGAATAGAGGCTCCTATATTCCAAGACGAAAAACAGAAACTTTTTTTCTAGGTACTCCTTTCGACACATGGGTAATATGGGTTTTGTCCATATTCAATGTTAATTGGAGTTTGTCTCTGAGGAGCGATTCCAATTTAGATCTCAGTTTCACGGTTTGTAATCGTGGACCAAAGATTGCTACTACAAAATCATATGCGAAGCGGATGTAGCACAAATTTGTAACATACGCGCTTGCTTATTTTGGGTGGTTTCAACGAGTTTTTAGTTGGTTCTTACGTCGCTTTTGAGACGAATAAATAGAAAACTCAAGTAAATAAAATGTAATCGATTATCTACCCAAAATGAAATAAAGTCCCAAAGACCTACGATGGTCATAAATGTGGTTAACTCGTTTCAAAACAAAAAACTGAATTGGAATGAATTGTTGGAGTAAAACCTTTGGATGTCGGTATATAAAACCGATGCCTTTCCACTTGGATATACTCCAATGAGATAACACGACCGACCAACGACCTCAATGTCTTAGCTTAGAATTGTGTTTTTGTTTTTCAACTATTTGTCTACACCATACGAATATCTTTGATCACCTTTTTATACTGTGTTGTTATGAATACAATTTGAAAATTTTACAACTAAATTCCAATTTGTTGAAACAATACTCAAATATCAATTTTTATATAGGTCTAGATGAGATTTCTTTATTCTTTGTGTGCAACCATCTAAACTATATAAGCAACTTGTTAGAAATTGATCTTAGATTTTTGGCATTATGTTATAGTGGACTCCTTTGTGAGCCTTTGACAACATTTACCTTCGGACAAGCTTATAATGAAAAATATTTTGTTGGTTTACAGTTATTGAAGATATGGTTGGTCATAAATTTGGAGAATTTGCTTCTACACGTAAAATTTTGAAAAAAACTATCAAAACAAAAAAAAACAAGCAACTAATAGCACAAAAAGTCGATCCAATCTTAGTGAGACTGAATGTGAATCGTAGCATACTCTGAAGATGTAAACCTCGGACAAGGCAATGATGTGTCCCCTGGTACAGGGTCTGGGAGAACTACATTGTAGCCTGATGAGCTGGAAGGGACAGGGGAAGACACAGTTGCTACTGCGCAAAACAGGGGCATGGGACTACAAAAGACAGGGCTGGAGTGTGCCCTTATGACCTTGAGCCATAACCACTCTGGGTGTGCCGGTTCAGCTCCTACAAGTCAAGAGGGAGAGATACACCGTTCATTGGAGGACAACGCGAGTTCTACAGGCAGTGTTCCGGTAAAGACTCTTCCACAAGGTTAGCTGAGGATGCTCATTGGCAGGCAGAAAAGATGGGGTTCGCGGAAATGGACAGGGGGCTTACCGTTCCAGGTCAGAACTCAAGAGGGAAAGATCGCGGATGCCGGCCACTTCACTGCAGCGAATGAAGCCCACTACACTGCACAGGAACAGAGCGCAACACCGGGTAACTACTCATGACTGAAAGGGTGTGACAGTGCATAAGTATGTCAAGTTCAATCCTGGGCTGTAATGTGAGGCCCCACGAGATAAGGGGCGGATTTTGGTATTGGACTGTCTCTCCAAAGTCATGCCTATGTCGGCTTCTAGCTATAAAAGGCGTCTCATGAGACTTGAGCTCGTAGTCACTTACCTTATGCTATCAAGCAGGTTAATAATTTTAGGCTACAACGGGAGATCTACCTGCCTAGTCTTATCTTTGGAAGGTGAGCCCTGCAACCTCCACTCCAGTTTTAAGGATCACGGACGTCAGGAGCACGTGGATCAAGAGGGTATAGGGTTTAAGCGTTTAAATGGGTCAGACATATCACAGGGGGCTGCTGAACTGGGCTGGGCTAGTAAATAAGGGTTGCTCTGAGAAGGGTAGGGTGTCATTAGCAGCTCCAAGGGACATTGGAGACCCGGGTCCGAGTAGTAAAAGCCCACATCCCCAGGAAAACAACAAATAACAAATTGTGTGTTATAAGATGTATCAAAGGGACGTTGGACCCGGTTTCCAGCAGGTGCGGCTCCCCACCAATAGATGGAGCAGCTCGACAGAGAAACCCTAAATCCTGACGGTTCTCTTACCACCGCCGGGATAGAGGGTTTTACACAAGGGCTATTCGGTAAAAAAAAAAAAAAAAGTATAAGTAAAAGATAGTAAAGAAGCTAATCCTCCCATTTTGCGCATATCTTGTTTATCAGACATTGCATGAATCACAAACCCTGCGCTAAAAAAAAGTGATGCTTTAAAAAGAGCATGGTTCATCAAATGAAATGCACTCAAAAAATAGTTGGAGATACCACAAGCGAATACCATATAGCCGAATTGGCTACAAGTAGAATGAGCAAAAACCCTTTTTAAATTGTTTTGTAAAATTCTTGTAGTTGCTGCAAAAAAGGATGTCATAACTCCCACAAAAGTAATCAGCTGGATAGCACGGCGAGCGCGTTCGCGCCCCTTTACATTCGCGTGAACAGCTGGCGAACATGTTCGGGCGAACATAATTTTTTTTTTTCGTGAAAAAAAAGAACAATTTCAGTTTTTGATTTTTATCTCATGATTGGCTACGAATTTGAACATGACTCCACGACAAAAGCTGCTTGTATTGTTCTTCTATATAACATATATCTTTTCCAGATTTTTTTGAGAATATATTTTTTTTTTTGTAAATATTTTTTTATATTCGCATTCAGAGTTTTTTGTGCGCTTGTTCGCGTTCGGGCAAACATGTTTGCGTTCGCCCCCGAACGCGAACACGGTGCTACGTAGGTAATCACAATTAAAGCATGGGTGCGTATTCAAATAAGGGAGAACACCTTGCCATTATATAGATAGTTATAAAAGAAGATGCCAGGAACCGCCCTGAAAGAAACAAAGAGTGTGTCGCCCCAACTGCACTCAAATATCTATACAAAAGAGGGATTTTGCTGAGTAGCAAATCAACAAAGGGAATGAAAGGAAGAGACCATAATGATCACAAGTGCGCTAGAAGATGCCAGGAACAACCCTGAAAGAAACAAAAAGTGTGTTGTCCCACCTGCACTCAAATATTTGTACATAGAAACGATTTTGCCGAGTAGCAAATTGAATGAAGGGAAAGAAAGGGAGACATGAGAGAGAACATAATGATCAGAAGTATGTAACTTTCCCTTGTTTGTTCAACGTTAATTAAAGTTTGTAGCTATACATGCAACATTGTTTAATGACTTTGAATGACGTTAAAGCACTAGTATCTCCGCCAGTGTTGGGAAAATTGTTTGAACTGGCAGTTTTCCCAAACTCCTATGAAATCGGAGCACGGGCCTGATAACGGCTGCCATTGATAACTCTCATCAGCGGCCCCCATCAATCCACTTTGTGGTGCGCTTGTCGTGAGATGAGTGGCTGAAGGAAAGAAAATCAAATAAAAGAAAAGAAAACGAGCGAGGCTCCCCAGTAGAGCAGAGTGGGTCTAAGTAAATGTGAACTACTGACTTTACACTTATCAGGCGTAATCTCTAAACAACTGAGTGCTTGGAAAGACTTGGAACTCTCAACCCCCAAATTCGTAGTTTGGTGCTCTATCCAATTGAGCTACAAGCACATTCATTTGTCCCTCGTATCATTTCGGCCTCCTAAAAGGTCGAAGGCCCACCAAAGACCTGCTATTTTCCCACTCGGCAAAATTACTAGTGGTTTATGACTTAAGAAGTTAAAGAGTCCAAACAGTTTGAAAATATTGAAAAAGAACAGGAGGATGTTGAGATGATGAGCGCATGTTAGTGCTATCAGGAACCTTGAAATGCTGAAGAAGTTGGAGCAATACCTGCAAAATGATTGAAGCGTTGACAGTGCAATGAACCCAAACAGATGAGAAGCTCATGAATGTTGAGATACAAGTCTGACTCAGTGCAACATTAAAGCTCCCTCTCTCGCCACCTCAACAATGCAGTTCTGCTCTAACAATCTCTGACACACAGAATGAGCAGGTCACAAGAGGGCGCCCATCGTCCATCCACGACAATAACAATTAGGGAGGGTGACACTTCATCCACTTGGAGACGATCAACATATCACACACGACGCCACTGTAAGTCCAGGTAAGGATCCCCTCATGTCCTGCACCAATCTCACAGTGTAGATCCTCCTCCTCCTTGCCCATCCCCCATCGATGTCGAGTTCTACGTGGCTATGACCACGACAACATAATCTCCCTCAAGGTTAGCGCCCAGATTCAGAATCTGGCGCCAACATAAAGCTCCAACAACCTTTTGTTGTTTCACCAACAAGAAGTCAACGCAAGGCAGAACGCCTTCCAAGCAGGGCTGGGGCACTTACAATGTTGATTCACGTTGACCAGCCTTTGGCCTCCTGGGGTTTGACGGCCCAGATCCAGTGGCCTAGATGCTGCACAGTTGCAGATTTCCCACGTGTTCCACTTGGACCAGATTCTTCTGGATAGCTGCAGACATCCGATGATGTGCATCTGATCTACAGCCGTGGCTGACAAGCGGGTTGACTTTGACTTCTGGGCCTGGATTCCCATGTTGGGGTTGACCGTTGGCTTTCTCAAAGTGAACTGTTTATTGATTATTTATTGTGCGACAGACGCAGGCCACGACGTCTTTTCTTTGGAATTCTCTTAAATTGTCAGTGCTTACTCGTTTTATTCCCCTTCTCTTCTATCCAGTCTCACTCATCTTCGATATTGATGAGGAGACCCTTGACCTTCGAACCAGACATTAAGTGGAAGAGCGGAAAAAGGTTTTGAATGCCCGCTTAGACCAATTGATGTTTGATCTTCGTGGTGCAGGTGTCGAAGTCGAGGCATATGTGCGAGAAAAGTTTGATTTGAAGGCAACACGAGCTGCTATAGAACGGGCTAAACTAGGCACCGACGTCATACAAATTCAGGATGTACTAATAAAGTGTCGACAAACATTTGATGAGTATGTCATTGACCAACTTAGGAAGATTGCAGACCAGAAGGAAGAGAAAGAAATAACTGTGTCTGAAGAAACTGTGGATGAAAATATCAGACAGTTAGAAGAAGCACTGGAGAAAGAGAAGAAAAAGAACGAAGAATTAAGGAAGAAAAAGAGTGAACAACAAGAACAAAAAATTAAAGAAATCAGACAAACTGTTGACAAGACCGAAGGGAAAGAATGGGAAATGTCTTTGGCTCAGCTTGTGACTTGCCTTGCCCACCTTGAAATGAAAATTGATCAGTATGGTGAACGGATGCAGGCACAAATTCATGATGTGGCCGCAGGACTATGGACAATCACAAATCTGGTCAAAGGAAAGCACCAGGTGGTTGAGGAAGTCAAAATTGAAAAAAAAGAAAAACCAATGAAATTATTAGGAGATGCCATGTAATCTCTTCAAGTAGGAACTCAAAAACCCGAACAGAAGAAACAGAAAGAAAAGAAAGGAGAGTCTTTGAGTCCGCCGAAGTCTCGAGATGGAAAGAAAGACACCACCGCACAACCCGAGAAACCAAAGAGAAAGGAGAAAGTCAAAATGAAGCTGCCTTTCACGTTCTGCAACAAAAAAGATGAAAATTAATTGTTGTGGATTGTTGAAATTCAGACATACTGCAGTACGGCCCCTGTTGAACCCGAGTCCCAGGTTGCTTTCTCTACCTCTTGTCTTGGCAGGGAAGCTAAGGAGTGGGTATTGGTCGAAGCCAACGCAGCGGGGTTCGATGGCATTGGGGAGTGGGCTGCAACCTTGAACTTGAAGCAGTTCCTTTGCAAGATTAAGGAACGCTTCTTGGACAAAATGACGATCCACAAGGCCTTTGACCAGCTCACTACCGTTGGTCAAAAACGTTGGACCTCGGTAGAAGCCTTTTCTCGGGAAGTTGACTGGTTGCTGCAGGTTCTTGGATTTAACCTGCACTACAACCAAGTCTTGTACATCTATTCCCGTGCTCTGCCCGAGCCCATCCGTGGACAACTTGTGGCAGAGTCTAAGTCAGGCAAGTATAATTACAGACAATTTTGGGCTCTTCCTCTCCAACGAGAGCAAATGACTTCTCAGGTTAAGAATTCGTACGCGTCTGTTGTAAAGTTTGGTGGTGGTGGAAGTGCAGGTAAGCGGATATTTTGGCGCCAAAAGCTCCGGGACCACACCCTCGTCGTCTTTGATGACGATACTGTAGAGAAGTGGCCATTGGAGGTCGAGGGTGTGGCGAACAGCAGTGAGTCTGGGAAGGGGGAAGTCACTGTTGCAGTGGTCAGCAAGGGAGGACAACCACCACCGATGAAGAAGAAGAAACCACGCTGGTTCTCGGAGCATCCCGGAATTGCCGCTGGGAAGCCATGGGAAAAGATGGGAATGTCACAGGAAACGTGGTAGGAGCGGATGGATAACGCGCAGTGCCTGAAGCTGTCTCTTATACACATCTAGATGTGTATAAGAGACAGTTGCAGTGGTCAGCAAGGGAGGACAACCACCACCGATGAAGAAGAAGAAACCACGCTGGTTCTCGGAGCATCCCGGAATTGCCGCTGGGAAGCCATGGGAAAAGATGGGAATGTCACAGGAAACGTGGTAGGAGCGGATGGATAACGCGCAGTGCCTGAAGTGTGCTACTGTAGGGCATGTGATTGCATGGTTCCCGTTAATCCGTAACCCCAAAGCGAGCCGCTAGTAGGAGTAGCATCTGCTCCTACTGAGTCAAAGGGTTTGGACCAAGATGAAGGTAAGGCGCCTACGACCCCTTCCAACCCTTCGACTTGCATGGCAGAGGATTGTTCTTCTTCGGCCCATCGTCCAGAACACCCTGAACGTGTCTTATGTACTGTCTCTGGACGACTCTCTTGACGAACTTGGTAACGAGTTGCTAGCATTACGAAGCTCGTGGACTAAGAAATCTAAGTCTAAGGGTGACCTACTACTAGCGGACGTAGAGATTGCACATACACGTATGGGTGCACTGTTGGACTCAGGATCCACGCGATCCTTCATTCCGAGAAGGCAATTCGCAAGTTGCATCTTGGAATGAGGGTAAAAGATCTGTCTCGACCAATCACGTCTATTCTCGCCGACAGACACACGATCACTAATTTCACAATGTGTTGATCGTGTCAAATGTCGATTTCTCACCAAGGAAGGGAAAAAGATTCTACACGAGATATCCTTCCTTGTCGAAAAAAGTTTAACGTTTGACTTTATCTTGGGACTGGACTTGCACAAGGAAGCCAACCCAGATATAAAGTCCAAAGAAAAGCTTGTGCAATTGCGTGACGCACAATTTGAGTGGAAACCAATCAAATTGTTTCGTAAGTCTGGCTCTGACTCTAGTCTCTCTTTTTGTTGTATGAGTTATCCAGCATTTCGGTCGATCGTTTCAAAGAAAAAGTTGGAACATGAAGTAATGATGATCTTGGTAAAGAAAGCAGGTGAATGCTCTACTTTCTGCCCTCTGTCGATTGATAAACTCTTAGATGAGTATAAAGATCTACAACTCGAACCAACAAGAATAACTGCGCGTGCTATCAAGCACACCATTGAAATTATTCCTGGCAGTAAGATTCCCAAGGGCCCTATCTACAGAATGTCTCCTAGGGAACTTGAGGAACTCAAAAAGCAACTGCAGGACTTAACAGAGAAAGGATGGATCGCCCTGGCTTTTCTCCTTATGGTGGTCCTGCCTTTGTTTGTGCCTAAAAAGGAAGGAGAATTGCGTCTCTGTATTGATTATAGAGGGTTGAATGCCGTCATTGTTAAGAATGTCGAACCTCTACCATGTATTGACGAACTTATTGGACCAGTTGCAGGGTTGCAAGTTCTTCAGTAAGATTGATCTGAAGTCTGGGTACCACCAGATCGAGGTGGATTCCGCGGATCAACACAAGATTGCATTCCGAACAAGGTATGGCCACTACGAGTTTGCGGTAATGCCTTTTGGACTGACTAATGCCCCAACGACCTTCCAAAGGTCCATGAATGAGTTATTTCGTCAGTGGTTGGATCAGTTCGACATTGTTTATCTCGATGACATTCTAGTGTATAGTAAGACACTAGAAGATCATGAGAAACATCTACGTCTGGTGCTAGGGAAGTTGCGTGAGGGCAACTTTAAGATCAACTCAAAGAAGTCTGAGTTTGCTGAGTCCGAAGTGTTATAACTAGGACACATAGTAAACGAAGAAGGTCGAGAAGAAGATTTCAACAATTAGAGATTGGCCACAACCAAAGTTTGTAATTAAACTACGGTATTTCTTTGGTTTGGCAAGTTACTATAGGAAGTTTGTTAGGAACTTCTCACTGATCGCCGCACGAATGAGAAGATTGCTAAAGAAAGGAATTATATGGTTGTGGGACAAGGGCTGTGAGTCTGCTTTCAAGAAGTTAAATTATGCATTGACTCACTACTCTGTCCTGAAAATTGATGATCCATCTTTTCGTTTCATCGTCACTACTGATGCAAGTCAGTACGGGATTGGCGCAGTCCTTCAACAAAACGATGGCAATGGTTATAGACCCATTGAGTTTATGTCTGCATGACGACCATCGAAAAAGGTTGCCAATTCCACCTATGAAAGGGAACTGTATGCCTTAGTTTGCGCACCTAACACCTGGAAGCACTACTTGTTAGGGAGGCACTTCATTGTGTATTCAGACCACTCTACCGTGAAGTGGATAAAGACACAGCCTAGGCTCTCTCATAAGTTGGTACGATGGTCTACGCTTATTGATACCTTGGATTTTGAATTGAAAACGATCAAAGGTAGGTTTAATGTGGTTGCAGATGCATTGTCCAGACGGAGTGACTTCTTTGGTATTATTGTCTCTTACTTGGATGTTGGGAGTGATTTGAAAGATGGAATTTGACAAGGATATGTTACTGACCCTATTTGGAAGCCTATCATTGATGTCCTTGCAAAAGACCCAACTCTATTTGCCAACTACCGAATAACCGATGGTTTGTTTTTCTTGTTAGACCAGACTGAACAACGATTGTGTATTCCTCACAAGGAAGAGATTAAAAGTCTATTAATTGGGGAATGTCCTAGGCTACCAGAGTGGCCAGGGGTCACTTGCCCGGTCGGGCCAAAAAATATTAAAAAAATAAAATTAAAAAAAATATTGTTTTATTCTATTTTTTATTTAAAATTTGGTAACGAATTTCGATGTGATCCTGAGGCAAAAGTTGTTCAGTTTATTATTCTGCATAACATAGTTTTTTTTTCGGATTTTTTGGAGTTTTTTTTTTTTTTTTTTTTTTTGCTGGGACCTTCTCTGCTCCTTGCACGGCCTGGCCACCCGGGACCTGGGCGGCCTGGCTGGTAGCCTAGGGAATGTCACGATTCTGAGGGTCATTTTGGATTCAAAGAAAACTTGCGCAGAGGTTAAAGAACGTTTCGAATGAAAGGGATTAAAGGAAAACGTACTAAACTTACGTGCGTACCTGTCTGATGTGTCAAAGAAACAAACCTTCACATGAGAATCCACTTGGTTTCCTGAAACCATTACCAATTCCAAGTGAACGAGGTGAGTCAATCTCAATTGATTTTATGAGCCTCACCAAGAGCCACAACGGCAATGGTCAAGTAATGGTTATTGTGGATCGTTTCTCTAAATATGCCATGTTTATTCCCTTACCTACTAAAACACGAACTGAACTTGTGATCCAAAAGTTTCAGATGCAATGGGTGACTGAATATGGGTTTCCCCTTTCCATTGTGTCTGATCGTGATGCAAGGTCCACAAGTATGCCATGGCAAAAGCTGATGGAAGCATACGGTACATGTTTGACCATGTCCTCAGGGCGACACCCTGAAATGAATGGACAAAGTGAGCAAATGAGTCGATTATGCCATCAGCTCTTGCATGCGCGTGAGACCCGATCAGATTGATTGGAATGAGAACTTACCCCAAATAGCCAGTGCTTATAACAACAGTGTTCACACCGCTACGGGTCGTATACCAAATGCACTGCACAAGGGGTGGAAACCTAGGCGTCTCATTGATGTGCTAATACGAGACCAGTTCCTTAGGCTACGTCGAGGGACACGAGAGTATGCAGTTTTGTTTCAAGAAGATATAAAGAAGGTAAAAGATAATTTAAAGAAAGCTCAGGACCAGATGATCGAACAAGTGAATAAACATCGTTGACCATCCACGTTTAAGGAACGAGATTTTGTTTGGGTAAGGTCCAAAGAGTTTTCCTTAGAAGAAGATGTGTCCCTGAAACTTCTGCCTGTCTATTTTGGACCCTGGGAAGTTCTCAAAGTAATTGGAGATGCAGAGGGACCGTCTTATTGTATTGATATACCCCCTCATCTCAAAACATATCCTGTTTTTCACGCGTCCAAACTGTTGCCCTATGTAGAAGGGAATTAATTTCCACCCAGACCATCTATGATTCCGCCATTTATGGAAGGCAGATACGAGGTAGAAAGAAAATCATAGAACATGGTTACTTCTCTACGGGGAGGACGTGGACCACCTCAGAAGCAGTTCAAGGTACGTTTCAGGTCTCAAGCACCATCTGAGTACAGATGGTTTAGTAAAAGAGAACTACTTGAAACTGCTCCTGATATTGTCGCTGCTTATGAACGAGGGTTAAAGTCTTAAATATTTTTGCGGTGGAACTCGAAAATAGGCCGGTGTCGCACTTTTTCCTGTCGGATCGCTTCAGGCGATCGGAAAGCCAACATGTTGTCAAGCAGGGTTTTGTATGTGATTGCAATAAATAAAATGAATTAAATAATGCAAATCCTTTCCCTCTCACGAGTGTCGTCATCTCCTTCTCATTTGGACCCGTTAGTCTTATCAAGAAGTCTGAAGCTCCTCTTCTCTTCTTTAACTGCCACCAGTTTCTGCGTTCTCTACTTCAAGCATAACATTCTCCCTGGCTTCTCGCATGCAGAAAGGAGGTTGACGTCAGCGTCACGACGCACATGTCATGCTCACATAATTTCAGTCGTCTCTATCGCACAAAACAGGCCCACTTGCCCTAGCTCGACACAGGCTCCGTCGTCTCGTCGTCTGTCAAAATTAGAAACGTCCACTGTGATGGACGAACTCACACTTTGTTTGACTCTCTCCCTCTCGTTTACTACGTTCCCCGTATCACGCACACAGCCCTTCTGAGATGTTCCCCTGAGCTCATACCACGGTGCCAATCGGACACGTGCCACAGCCTCGCGTGTCCTGTCCACACACTCAGCGTAGTTGCCCCTTGGGGCGCACACCCTCCCTGTTCGGACCTCGCACTCGTAACTGCCTTGCCCCGTCCCTCTCGCGATTTGCCCACACGTGTTGACTTTTTCGCGCCTTCTCTCTCACTCACTGCTTGTCACGATCATACACACCTCTTTCCTTTGCCTCCCGCCTTTTCTGT